CAAATCAGACGTTGGCATGCCATAGAGTGGTTCTCGATTATGACCGCCTGTCATAAATCCTGGGGGAACATAAGGCCTTGTGCCCAGATTTCCCCTTGGTGGGGGAGTTCCCAAAGGCACTCTGGGGCCAGTGAACGGAGGTAATGGCCCCGTCGTTGTGATCGTTACTGCTGGTGTTGAACCAGCGGTTATCACTTCACTTACGGTTGGGATAACCGTTGCTCCCACATTCGTTTGTGGGATTTCGTTATTGTTTGGCGGATTCACCATCTCTTCTCTTCTTCTGGCAGTATTGGTATTGTTAGTGTATATTTTACCACTTCTCAATAACATACAATACTCCTCGAAAAAGATGATATTTTATGTAAAAAGATTAAACTTCAAAATCAACACACGGTCCCACCAGGTGTGCCAATTTGTTTACCGTGGGTTTTGGTAAACAACCGCTGATCTTCCAAATGGTTACTTATTTGGTTACTCGCAGGATCGATCAGATTGATCCTAAGACATGGTTGATTTTGGGGTTTTGATTAAGTTTGACAATGGTTAAATGACAAGAAAATAAAGAAGCTTTATGTAAATTGCATGAAGAAGAGAACTTGATAAAATAAAGGAAGGCTTGAAATAAAGGTTTTCGACAGGAAAAGTAAAGGAGAAAGCAAGTAAAGTTTCTGGAAAATAAATGACTTTGATTAATAAAAGTGGTGTTTCACACATACATTCTCAACAATTCTTTCTCACACGCTGGGTACTCGAATCTATATGAGTGACTTGTATATAATTGTGAACACACGCGAAAAACTGCGTGAACTACTAATATTTATACTAAAACATCCCAAGTAACCGTCGGGCAGTTACACTGCTTCGAGATGACTCCACTTGGCACGTTCTCAGCATTCGACGCTCCAGATCTTTGCACATTGCACTTGGTAACCGCTGGGAACCGTTTTCCCTCCAAACACTTGAATTTCAAACCATCCCACTCTGAGCAATCGAACACCTTCGTCGAGAGGCATCTTCGACGAGCCACACCTTCGACATCGAAGGCAACCAAATTCTCCCTTGGAAGAAATCATCTAAGTACATTGCCATCTTCTGATGGGCATTTCGACAGACCCAGCTGGTCGAAAACATCCTTCAGCTTTAATGACTGATATTAATAAAAACAAGGGTGTCGAATTTAGGAGCCAACACCTACACAGACGATTAAATAGACTGATATTCTGCATGCATGTGCCACCCTAGGTGGCTTATCCTCCTATTTTATCATGCATGCGCCACCCTAGGTGGCTTATCCTCCTATTTTCTATTTTCTCATGCACGCGCCACCCTAGGTGTCTTATCCTCCTCTTTTTACATGCATGCGCCATCTAGGGTGACTTGTCATTGAACAACAAAACTTGCATGCATGCCATATAATCTCTGCCACGTTGCAGGTTTGCATGCATGCAAAAAGCAATAAGCCATGTTGAATGGCGCCTATGTACAATAAGGAAGAGCATGCGCCACCTAGTGTGGCGCCTATGTGCAATAAGGAAGAGCATGCACCACCTAGTGTGGCGCCTATGTGTATAAGTTGCATGTAAAGTATTCTTCAAGATTTTCCTATAAATACATGTAACATTCACCCTATATTTTCATCACAATCATAACTCATACACTATTTCTTTCTTGAAGTCTCAACAACAACACAAGAGTAATTAAGAAAAAATGTCTCTCTTGACCATGGGTGATCAACATAGAGGAACTCCGAACAATATTGAAACCTTTGTAAGTGTATTTTCCTCAATACCTATTTTTTGCCGACAATTTATTGTTCCTTAATTCTTATGATTGCTATACGTAAATCTTGTATTTCTTATACGTAATTCATGTTTTTAATAGGATGTCAAAAGATTTCATTATCGTGTCCATGAGTATGTCCCTTACGATGTTCAAATTGAACCGTACTTACGACATGCCGGTTTTGGTCTATTACTCAACATAGTCAATTACCATGTTGACTATAAAATTATTCTCGCATTAGTGGAGAGATGGAGACCCGAAACTCACACCTTTCATCTTCCATGTGGTAAATATACAGTCACACTAGAGGACGTGTACATGTTATTTGGTCTACCGATCGACGGTAAGGCTCTCAATGATCGATTCAACCAAGACAACGCCATATGCGAGAAACTTTTGGGAGTCTCTTTATTTGAACAAGGGTCAAGAGGCCAAGGTATTAATCTCCATCTTCTTAGATAATATCATAGTAGTCTCGTAATAACTGAAAACTCTACCGAGCAAGAAAAAATTGTGAAAGCTCGGTGTTACATGATGATATTATTTGACCATTTTTTATTTCTTGAAACAACGAGTAATACTGTTAATATCATGTATTTACCCTTGTTAAGACAATTTGATAAAATAAACACATATAGTTGGGGTTTATCTGTTTTGGCCCATATGTATAGTTCCTTGTGTAAATATGCATCAAACGATAATTGTTCTTTCTATTCTCGCGCCTTTTTGCTCCAGACAAGGTGTTGGTCGAGAATGCCGACACTCGCCCCCTGCAACACAAGGCCATTCGTCTTCCCCTTTGCTACAAAGTAAGATTACAAAACCATAAATTTTACATATTATATACCGAGACATATAGTGTATTAATTTATTACCCATTTTTTCTATGTAGGTGGTCTATTCATGGGATGAATTACAATAAATCCCCTAGAAACACAATAATAGTCTACCGAAATCTTATTGATCATGTTGGACCCGAAGAGGTATTAAACTTACATATTTTATATAATGCATTCAATAGTTTAATTAAGTTTAATATTTTATATAACGTTTTTTACTCTACAGTTTGTATGGATTCCGTATAAAGATCTCGACCATGAGATTAACCCTCCTGATGCTGAAGTCTGGACTGCAAAAACAACACTCATCAGGTTCACTACTGTGGAGATGCACCACAGTGACCATGTGAAGCTATAGTTCGGCATGCAACAGGGTATCCCCGACCCCCAACATGTTTGGGCCAATGGCATCTACTCAAAGTTGACGACCAGTGGGGATTTAACGATTTGAGAGACTTCGTTAAAAATTAATGTCGTCAATGGAGGCATAGACGTGAATTGGTCATAAGGGAGCCAATCTTATAAGATGACTTAAAACCGACGCTCCAATATTTGAGATGGTACACATCGGTTTCAACAAATTTGTTTCTGTCTCAAGAGACTTATTTGATTGACCCACGCCAAAGAGCTGCAACATACGCCCAACAACAACCCCAACAACCAATCCCTCAACAATACCAAACCCAACAACCAACACCTCAACAATACCAAACCCAACCACAATGTCAACCCACTCAAACCTAACAACCATACACCACCTCATTCAACCAAACTCGTCATCAATTCATGCCACACACACAAACACAATACCAAAAGCATGACCGACCCACCACCAATAATATGCACCATCCTCATCCTACCATAACACCCAAGACACATATGATACATTTCCTTTCTACCATACCACACAACCTACATACAGTCAAACATCACACCATCGAAGTACCCAACCATCATACGAATTTCATACACCACAAGAACCGTTGCTTCGTTCCCATCACGATTCAACATCCCAATACTATCAACCATCCCACCATCCCACACATATCCCAACCAACAAGACCAAACTTCAATAATATGGGCACCGATCTCTTTGGAAGCACAACACAGTGGGCGCGAAATGATCGATGAGATGTATGATCCTGATGTACCGGGACCATCACATCAAGCACCTCATAATCAAGCGAGTCAGAGCAGACCACAAACACCTCAGGAAAATCAACAGAGAGGAGTGAGACAAGGGGCGAGGCAAAGGCGCAGCCGTTTATGTCATACGAGGACCCGCTTAGGTTAAGGGGACGTCCAAAAAAAATATATCCATGCGTTGTGTAATATTAAATATTAATATAAAATATTTTTAGTTTTTAAAATTTATTTAAAAAAATATTGCAATAACACTGTCAAGCCAAGGAGGGTGGTGTCTCCTCTCAAAAACACATGCATGCGCCACACCGCATGACTTTATAGAGGAGGATAAGCCATATAGTGTGGCGCCTCCTCTTTAAATTGAATTCATGCGCCACACAGAGTGGCTACTTCTCTGTGTGGTGAAATTTTTTTGTTTGAAAAGTGGTTATTTTGATAAATTTTTTAAAAAAATGGTTATTTGGAATTTTTTTTAAAAAGTGGTTATTTTAAAAAAAAATCCCATTATTATGATTAAGGGTGGTAAGCGGGCATGTCTGACCCATTTAGGTCCTTTCTGCAAAAGTCTGTAAAAAAAATGGGGCGGGGCGGGATAGACATAGTTGAGGATGAGAGCTTAAAACTTAGGTCTGTCCCGCAAAAAAGTGAGTGTGAGATGAGAAAAGCCTGTCGACGTTGCATCTTTTAGATTTTAAAATATAAAATTTTATGCTAATAATCATGCCCGCAAAAGCCCGCAAAGAAAACGAGACGGAACGGGACAGTCACATTAGAGAGTGAAAGTCTAAATTCTTAACTTGTTCTACATAAAATACTCGTAAAACGAACATGCCAAACAGACCGAACCCGTTTTGTCAACTCTAATTATAATACGTGTTTTTTTCTAAGAAAAAATAATTTTGTTTGAAAAAAATTATTTTTATGAAACATAAATTACAATCCTATTAACAACTTGGGAATAATAAATCTTTTCAAAAAATTACCACATAATTATTTTTGACTGGTATATCACAATTTTTTAAAAATTATATTAAAATAAAAATAAAAAATAACAAAAAAGAAAGAACACGGAACCTATAATGGCTGCTACCAAAACAAACCTCCAAACGTAGTCGTTTAAGTGAAGTATATAAATCAAAATAACCAAAACAGCGCCGCAAAAAAAAAGTGATAAACGCTAGAGAAGCAGAGCCAGTGAGTGAGTCTGTTCGAACTTCAAACTCAAAAACGATGTCGTTTTTCTCCGCAACTGCAACCGTTCCTCAAAACCCCACCTTCGTTTCCTCTAACAAACTCTCATTTTCTCTCTCATCATCATCTCCCTCTACGTCGTCGTTTAACTTCCTCTCATTTCCCTCATCTCAATCCATCTTCTGCAAAAGCATAACTGCCTCATCCCAAATTGCACGCGCTCACGCGCCTCCTTCTCCTGCAACCACGACCACCGCCGCCTCATCCTTCCATGGCATCTGCTACGTCGTCGGCGACAACATCGACACCGATCAGATCATTCCCGCCGAACATCTCACTCTTGTCCCTTCCAAGCCCGACGAGTACGAGAAGCTCGGTTCCTTCGCCCTAATCGGACTCCCCGATTCATACACCGTCCGGTTCATCGAACCTGGCGAGACGAAAACCAAATACTCCATCGTCATCGGCGGCGCTAATTTTGGTTGCGGATCCTCCCGTGAGCACGCGCCGGTTGCGTTAGGGGCTTCCGGTGCGGCTGCTGTTGTGGCTGAATCGTACGCGAGGATCTTTTTCAGAAACTCGGTGGCTACTGGTGAGGTGTATCCGTTGGAGTCAGAGACGAGGTTGTGTGAGGAGTGTCATACGGGAGATGTGGTGACGGTTGAGCTTGAGGAGAATCGTTTGATTAATCATACGACTGGGAAGGAGTATCAGTTGAAGCCGATTGGAGATGCTGGTCCGGTTATTGAGGCTGGTGGTATCTTTGCTTATGCTAGGAAAACCGGCATGATTCCTACTCGATAAGGTATTGAGCTTTGTTTGTTCTTTCTTTGTTGCATTTGTTTCTTAATTTTCCATTATAACGGTGCAAAAGTTCTTGAATCAAAATGAGTTATGGATAATGATGAAGGGTATTCCATGTACTAACTTGACATCATGAGAACCTATAATTTTGTCACTTCATATTGTTAATTTTAAGATTCAGTTACAAGAGTAGATTCTTAGAACTTAGAATAATGAATTCTCATTGGATGCATGTATAAAATTGGTTTGCACTGATAGTGCATCACCTTAAAATCATATTAGATATGCGTGTTTAGGTGAGCATTTGGTAAACCTGATTTTGTTTGAGCTTGATGTGATACAATTAATTTAGGCTAAAGTTTACTTTGAGGTTAAATAATTCATATTGAGATGTTTTTCTTATAAGCAGATTTGTAGTGAAACTTAGTGAAATTTGCCAGCTTCATTTCTTGGTCAAACTTGCTTTGTGCAAGATAAATTTTGATTTATAACAACCAAACATTCAACTTTTTTCCCCTTAACCATGTTTGCTTACTAGATTACCATTTTATAAGTTTTCAACTATTTTTCCAATCATGATACTGTAGGTCACCAATCATGATACTTGGTCTAGCAAAGTTGCAATGTTCTATTTGAAATTATATATAGTGATAGACCATTTAAGTAAAACTTTTTGTGAACATTGATCTACCAACACCAATCAAAATCATTTTCTCATGATAAATAGAAGTGTTTGTGAACCTTAACCTAATAAAAAAAACACAGGCAAGGCTTCAAGATGAAAATGAAACCGAGATGTTCAACGCTTCAAGCTTTTTAGAGAGAGTTCTTTGCATATAGAAGGAACTTCTTCGACATACTCTTTTTCCTTTGTTTTTCTATGAGGATTTCTTTTTGAAATAAAATGTAAACCAAAACTATGATACCTGACTCTTACAGTTAATTTACTATCCAGAACTTCGACTCACTCTTTTTCTGTTGTTTTTTCTATGGGGATTTCTTTTTGAAATGAAATGTAAACCCAAACTATGATACCTGACTTCAAGTATGGAATTAAAATTGGGTTTTTAGGGTGCATACCTGAATACTTAAATGGGTTACCTACTGAAAGGACGAGTTGTGGTAGAGGATTATCATTTTTAAAATCACTCTAGACTCTAGAACTGTTTTCTCATGCAAGACCTGCATTTTTGGCATTTTGCCTTTTGAATCTTTTTCTTATTAATTCACATGTGTCAAGTGAAGTTATATAGAGTATAGACATGCTATTGCTATGAGAATATAGTAAACTTGATTTACTGCATATGTCCAGATTTTGTTAAACTTACACAGTTATAGCATTAGAAGTCAACTTAGTTTGAAAGCTTTGAGCCTGTAACACGTTTTTACAAATGTATGGAAAATATGAATACCACTAGGAAACAGAAATCTTCCCACTTCATGATACTATAAATTTTAAACTGCATAAGCTAAAGTTCCATTTGCTTAAAAGCTTTTGAAAGAAGTATTTATATTCAAAGTTCTGTAAAAATGTTGTTCAGAGATGTTAGTATGTTACCTTAGCAGAAGTTTTTTTTTTTTTTTTGTTTGGTTACAGTGATAAAAACAATTTATTTTGAAAGGTAGTTACAATTACAGCTTTTTTCAAGAAACTACTCAAATAGCATCTCAACATAATTCAAGATTTGATTTTGTTTTCAGATGCTGATTTTTTATCTAATGTTTTTACAAACGGCTAAAAATTTTAAAAAGTAGTTATTTCCATGTAAATAAGTTGAAATGAATGAGCTGTTAGTCGAAGTTATGTTGCTTTTAGGATGATGGCAGGTTGTACAAGTTTGGGTTATTCTTCTGATCCAAATGTGGATTGCATGAATTGTCTGCACTGAATCCTTGATAGTGTAGCATAATTGTCAGTTAGGAGAATCCATATAATTCTGGAGTGTCTCTTGAGTACTGCAAAGTTACGTTTGATTTCTCCCTCCTCTCATTACAAGTTATCCTCAAGGAAACTCAGAATAGAAAAGTGTAGGCTAAATTTACAAACTAGGGCTGCATTTGTATTGAATTATGAATTTCTAGTTTGAACTTATCTACTAGCATAAGCACTTGTAATGTTTGGAAGTGCTAATTGAAACATCTTATGACATGTGTAAGTTGTTTTCAGCTTAATTTCACTAAGCTCAAGAGGATAGTTTATTTTAGCTACTTATAGCGTATGTGAAATCAATTTGACTATATTTTCTTTTCTATTAAAACAATACCTACCATTTCCCACATACCTCTCATGCACTCATGCAAGATTTAAGCATCCTAGCATGTTACAATGTTACACCATGGATGTGTATGCATATGCCAATCTCAATTTACCGTTCATTTAGAAATGATTTGCCTTCCCAACATGCTTTAGTTTAAAGGAAAAGAATGCTTAGACTAGAATGTTTAAAGGAAAAGAATGTTTAAAGGAAAAGAATGCTTATCTCTCTAACATCCCTTTCTAATGGAAAAGAATGCGTAGACTAGAGCATTAAAAATGGTTAGATAGATCTGGATACCCTTTGCAAGAGTGAAACCAGATTTTCCCTTGACGAGTTCTCTAATCAGACTCCATATAGGTAATTTTCCAAAAAGTCCCATTCTTCCTGGTTTTATCAGATCCAAGATTGCTCCTCCTACAAATAGCTACCTGCTGGAAGAACCCAATTTGAAAAAAGAGTGCCAAAGCTAAACCCTTTAGAGTTCATTCATCAATACTATTTGAGTCAGTGTTGTCAATCGCAGATTGCTGAAAATAGTTGTTTGTTCAAATTCAACCTATAGCGGCTATTTGTAAAATTTTGTACTAAATAGCGTAATGCAAAAGAATATCGGTTTGAATATTTTTCTTATTACTTCACACGTGCCAAAGTTTTTACAAACCACCTAAAAATTTTAAAATGTGTTTTTTCATGTAAAAAAGTTGAAATGAATGAGCTCTTAATCTAGAAGTTATGTAGCTTTCAGGATGATGGCAGGTTTTAGAAGTTTGGGTTATTCTTCTGACTCTGTTGTGAGAACCAAATAAGGATTGCATGAATTGTGTATACTGATTTCTTGATAGTGTAGCATAGTTTGTCAGGTAGCAGAATCCATAAAATTCTGGAGTGTCTCTTGAGAAATGCAAAGTTACTTAGGATTTCTCTCTTTTTTCCCTCTCCTCTCATTGCAACTTATCCTAACCTAAGATGGAAACTCAGACTGCAAAGTTACATAGGATTTCTCCCTTTCTCCCTCTCCACTCATTTAAAATTATCCTAACCTAAGATGGAAACTCGGAATAGAAAAAAGTCGGCTAACTTTACAAACTAGGGCTACATTTGGATTGACTTATGAACACGGCTAATTTGAACTTATCTACCAGCAAAAGCACTCATTGTAATGTTTGGAAGAGCTAATGGAAACACCTTTTAGCACACTTATCCTATGTTAACCTAGACATTCCCTTTATTTCATATTTGGTTATGGATCTGGACTGGTGCAATTGACTACACTCTGAGATTAAACACTGAAATGCATAATACTATTATAGGAAGCATTTCATATTCACAAAATGAATTAGGGTTTGCTTAATTGTTGGCTTTTGGGCCGGGTAGTTCAGACAAGCCGCCTTGTTTATCAGTGGACATGCTATTAATTGAAGCACATATTATCTCGGACAATCTATTCATATGCATCTTAGACTTCAGTTTATTGATGAAAACCAGGTTAGAATCATATACGAGTGCAGTTTAAACAGACTTCTTGTTGTTCATTATATTTATGTAATTAAGATTTTACATCTTTAAAATTGTAGATAATTGATTGTAAAATTACTTTTGTCATTCTCCTGAGCTTTTGTTGTTTGATTTGTTGTCAGCGTTCAAGAAGGTTATGTTCTGTTCTCAGTGGAAAGTTTAAGTGACGTTGGCGTGCAGCAGTAGATGTTTTAAGAGGCTGACTAGAACTGTTTGCCCGAGTTTGCTGATTCTATTCAGATAATTGTTAAGCAGCTTTGATAAAAATGAGTTTTGTAATTTGGCGTTAGAATTGTTTACTATTGTTAATTATAAATTGTTAACTATTTTTTAAGAGGCTGACTAGAACTGTTTGCCCGAGTTTGCTGATTCTATTCAGATAATTGTTACGCAGCTTTGATAAAAACGAGTTTTGTAATTTGGCATTAGAATTGTTTACTATTGTTAATTATAAATTGTGAACTATTAGAACATTTGAAACTTTGGATACAAGTTGCGTTAATGTTTTATTTTATACTTATTTACAAGTAGGATTTATGGAGATGGATTTCTATAAATAAAAAACTGCAAAATGCATTTTATTTTTATCCAAATTTGTGAGGTGTCTGGATCAAAGTAATAAGCTTATTTCAAGCCCTCTCAAAAAATGCTTGATGCAATCTACCAATTGAGCTTAGGATCTTGGGTACACTGAGATATTCAGTATTTAAAGAATTCTACATTGCTATATATGAGTAACCACTGGCTTCTGTTATGTGCATTCTACACAAAACTTTGTAACACACTACCGCTGTTGTATTTCATATCCAAAGTAATTTTCTTAACAATATTTCGTCTTTTGATTACTTCTTCATCCATTCCCTTGCTTCTTTATAATGCTAACTTTTGCTTTGCATCATTATTTGGTGTTTCTTTTAACCATCTTGGTCTATTTCTCCATTCTCATATTAACTTCCTCGTGGAGTTATATTATTTATTTTTAATGATCCAAAAATCATATCATTAAAAAACTTATTTAGTTTTGGGGATAATGGTTTGCTACAAGAAAAGTATATGTTTATGGTTATTCTTGCACCAGTTAACTTCTATATCCTATTGTTATGGATAACCGAATACTTATTATATATAATTTTTTATTTTGAAAATATGATGTCAATATTGGAAAATATATTTTTAGTTTTGAGAATATTATGGCAATATGGGGGAAAAAAATGAAAAATTGATCTCAATCCTTCAAAATCTCCAAAATCATTCTTGACTACATTTTTGTGTTTCTCTATATTATGAGGCTATTTATTATTAAAAAAGTAAACTTTCTCCATTCAAATTGGGTGACTTAAAAGAAAATGGCTTCAAAAAAAAAAAAAAAAAAAGAAAGAAATGTGTTCCAACTTGATAATCCAAAAAACAAAAAGGAAATCTAGTCTGGTCAATGAGAATGACCCATATTGAAAAGAAGAGCCACATATATTCACCCTCAGAATTGATAGGTTAATAAGGTTTTAAAGAGGATAACATTTTTATAACAAGCATTGACATCTTTTAACAATGACAATGACGAAATTATAGTAATAAAAAAGTGCAATGTATATATTGTATATAAACTAAACTGGGAGACACTTCACCAACATAAAGCATACCTTAAAAGAATTGGAGACCCTTCACCAACATAAAGCCTGCCTGAAAGGAGAAAATAAAAGAGTCCTACTTAAAAAAACACATTTTGTTATTGATTCTTGAGTTCATCTTTTTGAATCCACAATGCACTTCTTTTTAAAGCTATACTACTATACTTTACATTCAGTGAAAGGAATCCAATGTCATTTTTGTATCAAATATGATAACTAAGACAGTGAAAATCAAGAAAGGAAGGACTTATAATGGACATGATATTATCTTAAGCTTAATTATCTTCAAATACAGGGAAAGTAAATTTTTTTTTACTTTATAATAAAGTTAATATCATAAGTCATTTTCCTCTCTCACTAATTACATTTTTTTTATACATCACTAATCAACTTTTAAGTCAACAAAATTCACGACTCATGTCAATATGTTAATTTCTTTTAAAAAATAAATTATAATGTTCAAATCACAAAAGTTTGAAATAAACATGTAATGAATTGATGAAATATGTATTTAATACTCCGTCTCAAATTGACTATAGTAAAAAAAAATATTTTTATATTTTATTTTGTAATACTACAAATAAAGTATTGATAATCATCTCTCTATTATACTATTTACTACTTGTTTTTTTTTTAAAAGTAATTTCTTTTTCTTATATCACTAATAAATGATAATTTTGTAATGTAATACGGAGTACAAAATTTCTTTTTCACTATTTTAAATTTTGTATAAAATTGTTGAAATAACATATTTTGGGGGCGACAGATGTTACTTTTTAGTTCTAAAATGTAAGGTAATTGTTAATTTTAATTTATATATAAATAAATTTAAAATATAGAAAATCCTAATCAACAATATATTTGTCTTTGTATTGGTTAACTCATAAAATAAGATGAATGATAAGCTATGGAATACCAATGGTGTGTAAAACGAGTTATTGTATAAGATTCAAAATTTATCCAAATTAAAGTAAGATTAAATAGAATTTCATAAATTATTTGTACGTATAAAATAAATTATTTCTTTTACCACATTGAAATGTAATTAACTTACCAAAATCTCCAATAACTTAATATGACAATAATATTACAATAATATTATAATTTATTAAAATTATTACAAATATTTTTTTTTAATCAAAATTGCATCTGTCATTGTGATTTAGTGAGTATTTGAATGTATGCGGAATATAAAATACCACGTCCCATCTTACTATAATTTTTTTGAAAATATAAATTGGAGCTTCATGCTAAACGTTTTTTTTTTTTTTACTTCGAAAACAAACACATGTTTAATGAATCTCAACGTTACTAAAAATATTTTCTAAATGTCACACATAGGGAAGTAGTAGGTGATTGATGAGAAAATAAAGGAGAGATATTCATCTTCATTCAACAAAACCTCGCACCATACAATAAATGAACTCTCTAACACAAAGATCAAAGAAAATAAAAATAGTTTAAAACACCAATACAACATTGTTATAGTTTTTAAAGGGAAATCTAAACAAGATCCTAAGAAATGTGGTTTCTCTTATAACATGTCATTTCAAACCACCTTTTCAACTAACGTCATCATCATCATCATCACCATAAATCTTCACATCCCATAGTAACTAATAAAGAAATCTTCCATACTCTCTAGTAGGTGTCTCTTGGTGCACTGCATTTGAAACATTCCATTCTGCTTGCAAAGTTGTGCTCATTGCATCCTAATCTGTTCAAACCAAAAAAAAAAAATCATGTTTCCGTCGTGACAAAAATCGAGGGAAAAAAAATCATCTAGGTTAAATCAAATATAAAAATATAACGTGATATCAGAGTTTATCCATCCATTTGAATATTAAATCTTTCAATGTTGTGCGCGAGAGAGGTTACCTGTTACAAATCCAGTCACCCGATTTCCATCCAGGTCTAGTACTTCCACCAAAGCCTCTTGAAAGCAAAATATCAGTACTATTGTTATATCCTCCACCAGCTAATTCATCTTTGAAAGCACCACATTTGAAGCAACTTAAACGACTAGCAAAATTGTGTGCACCACAGTTTCCAGCACCACAATACCAATCACCTAGACGAACATCTGAACCACTTAAACCAAATGAAGAACCTCCTCTAATTCCTCCAAACACTGATCCATAATCAACTCTTTCTCCGTATTTTGAATCGCCACATCTTTGACACGATTCGCGCCTTTGAAAGTTCATGTGTTGGCATGACCTGCAGTTCCAATCTCCTGGCCTACTCATGTTTACAACTTCTCCACAAATTACTGTTGCATTCAACATATAATTCCGTTACAAAGTATTGAAAACAATACCTGCTTAAGATACACTTTATATAACAATTCTATCCGACAAATCTTTAACTATATCGTATCAATATAGGAGTTACAAATAAAATTGTCCACATTCGTGTGACATGGTTTGTCACATCAAAATTTTTGATGCGTCAGTGGTATTTATCAAGGTTATATTTGTCGTTTTTATTTCTATTTTTCACAATATAAATTGTCACGTGTTTGCAACCATAGTTTAAAACAAAAAATGATATTTTTCCATTAGGTCATTATTTTAAACATGCACAAGAGTTTATGAATATAGTCCTAGGTATACTAACTATAGCTTCCTAGCTAGAATTTTGCATATTATATAGAAGAACAAATATATAAAAATGTTTTGAAAACTATAAAAAATATAAGGTGAGAGTGAAAGAAAAAAGAGTAAGAAAGTGAGAAATGAAAAAGCAAAGACTAACCTCAAGAAAAGAAAGTAAGTTGAAGTATTAGAGAGAGAGAGAGGGTCAAGAGTATAAATTGATGATGAAATGTGAGAATAGGCATGGTTTATATAGTAGGATAGAGCACATAAAGAAGAGAATAAATGGAGGGAAAAGAGAATATTGTAGTACTTTTTAGTCTTGTTTAAGTGACAACCTTGATAAATGGAATCAATGAAAATTTAAAGGGGAGAAAAAGAGATAAAGGAAATTCGTGCTTCAATTCCAAAGAGAGGTTACTTTGAATTTTGAATATTACTTTGGAAGTGTGGGCTACAACTTCATTTTTTGTTTCTTGTTTTATTGGTATGCTAGCTAATGGCTGCAAAGTGCATATTGGATAATAATTTCTCATTCAAAATTGGATAGAAGTAGGGGAAGAGAGTGGCAAGTGGTAGGGCTAGTATGAATTTGAATTGAGTATTTCTCTACTTTAGGATGCTTAAAAACATTTACATTCTTCAAGCACAAAATAAAAATAAAAGTTCAAAGAATTGTTTTTTTTTCTCTCTTTCAAACCATAACAAAATTTCTAAAAATCAAGTGTAGGAATTTTCTTTCTAAACATGTCAATTTGAATCCGTAGACGGTGATTCAAGTAGGAACTCGAAGTAGGCATTATACCTCTCGTATCATGGCGATTTCGTCCCGATCAAATCACTAAAATACTTTTTAAATAAATATTTTATATTTGTTTCTTTTTTCCTTTACATAATACACATATAAATTCATTTTAAAAGTAATGTTTATTGTAAAGTTTAATATTATATTTGTTTTATGATTAATTTTTATTTTTTACTAGTTATTTCATTAAAAAAATAGAAATTTTGTTATTTTTTCATTATGATTAAAGGGTTACACATGAATGTCTCACATCGACTATGAATGAGATAAATGTCAAATACATGAAAATATGTGACTCATATATCTAATATATTAAGATTTTGAATGTAGACATGGTACATGTACTAACTCGAAAATCTTGAAATCCTTTGCCATGGATCTATTGTAGACATTTGGCCCATAAAGACTAATTTGTTTGATAACCCCCACTCACCTAGTTAATGACCTATTGAGAACCGCTTCTGGCCTTGAGGTGAGTGGCTCCTACCTCACGGTCTAACTTCATTCCTGCTATAAAAGCTTCGTCCTCCACATGGTTATTGTTGGTTTGAAAATTGTAACATAATGACTGTTTCAAGAGTACTTGATTGGGTCCCTCCAACATGATTCATGTTTTACTTCCTTTTAGGTTAGAAGACATGTCCCTCGATAAGAATCAAAGGCACGGGGATTTTACCTCAACTGGAATACTGAACTCGGCCAAGAAATATGCCAGGGATTGTGACTTAATACTACTTATGGGCAACTCTATCGACCATGCCACCATTGTGCCTATAAGATTTAGCTTTTTTAGTACTTTCTTGACCATGTTGTTCTTCTTAACAATGATGCAGTGTCCCTAGAAATAAGGTTTTAGTTTCATCGTCGTAATAAAATCGACAAGGCCAATTATTCTATCTTTTGATAGCGTAACTCAACCCCTTTTAAGACTTTGCTGACGAAGTAGACTTGCCTTTCTCTTTCTTTGCCCTCTTCAAAAAGGACTGAGCTTAGAGCTTTCTTAGTGACACATAAATATATAATTAACGGTGATTCTTCCTTGGAACAATAAGGATGGGAGGAGCTTATAGGAAACTATTTAACTCTTGAAAAGCTTTCTCACGATTTTTGTCCACTGAAAGCTTTATGATTTCTACAGTGTTGTGAAGAAGTGGATAGATTTGTCACCTGTATATGACAAGAATCTAGAGAGTGATGCAATCCTTCCAGTCAATTGTTGTACTTCTTTCACATAGGTTGGATTTCTCATGTTAATGATTACCTGACACTTATCTCAACTTTCCTCTATTCCTCGCATGGTTAACATGAAACCCAAAACATTTCTCGCCTACACCCCAAACAAGCATTTGTTTGGATTTAGAAGCATATTGTATCTTCTCACTGAAGGCAATGTTTCCTTAAAATATTCATAATGCATCCCTTTATTCGGGGTTTTAATCACCATGTCATCGACGTACACCTCAAGGTTCCGACCTATCTGATCGCAAAACACATTGTCTTGAAACCCGACGCACCATCTATGAGCCTCATAATGTTGGGTAATGGGTAAGGATCATCAGAGCATGGCTTGTTGAGGTTCACGAAATCTACACACATTCACCCCTTTCCTAAGTTCTTATTTCCCATCACTATGTTAGCCAACCATGTGAAACACGTGATTTCTTTGATAAATGCCTCCCCCAATAACTTTTTTTTACCTTTTTTTGCCACAATCGACCTTTTTTATTCTCCTTACTTTCACTTCATCTAGGAAAAGGGGTTTAATTCAAGCTTTATGGACAACTGATGGAAAACCATATTTAGGTCTATCTCAGACATATCTGCCGGCACCCGGGAAAATAAATCTACATTCTCCCACAACAGCCGCACAATCTCAATTTATTCGTCTTCTAGAAGTGCCATCCCAATCTGGGTAGTTTTATATTCTTCGGGGCCTATCCGAACAATCTTTAGTTCCTCCATGGGGTTAGACTATCTTCTAAGGGGTCTCCACGATAATCTAGGTCCATATAATGGATTTTCTGTGCGTCTGGGATGGGCTCCTTATTGATTTTCTTCTTTAACTTCAAGTTATCTCTGTGGCACTGCCTTGCTAACTTCTGGTTTCCCTTTATTACTTGAACTCGTTTGTTGATCAATGGGTACTTCATGGTCATATAGAACATTAATAATAAACCTCTAAAGCATTGAAAGTCGATCTTCCTATTATGATGTTGTAGTGTGAAGGAGAATTTATCATCACTGTTGTACCCCAATTCCCCCCTAAGATTCCTCTATCATCTCATATTAACTCAATCATATCAAGTTCACAATTGAGTTTGGTTCTTCCCTCTATCTTTAGGTTTGCTCATGAGGAATTACCAAACACCTTGATATGTATATTGTGATCATATTTGTTTTGTATTGATTAAATTTTAAACTAACAAGTACAATGAATGTTTGCTCTAATTGATGACATTATAGGTAAGGGCACAACACATTTCATCAATTTGATTTATAGGTTCATGAGTTTATTTCCATGCCTTCTTCAATAAAGTTTCATTGAGATTCAAGCTTCATAATTGAATATACTTTGAATTAATATCATGACAAGGTCTACTATGATTTATCATGCCTCAATTTGTCAAATAAAATCAAAAGATGCAAGAGTTGATTGAAGAAGTTTGACCTAATTGGACAAGTTCTTGATTTCTTGGTCACAAGTGCATAACTCTCTCAATTCTTAATATTTGGAGTTAGTTTTTATTGATATGGATTATTATTATGATGCATAACAACTTCTATTCACATGGCAAAAGTTATTGTGAAAGAAAGCTTGTCAAAATTGAAAGGGGTTTCCAAGTCATTTTGGTGCTCTAGGAGCTAGGGTTTTGAACTTCTAAGGGCTATATATTGCTCATATTTTGGTATTTTTGAGTGATTCCAAAGACATGATTCTCTTTAAATAGTTATCAAACAATCACTTCAAAATTTTCAAGAAAATCTTATGTGTAAGATGCCTAATGATGAAGAAAGATTACAAGTCCTCTAGATATGCCATCAAATTCCCTTAGGTGACTTCAAAAGATCATAACTTGGTAAACTTTTATCTCCTTGAGCCCATTATTTTTCCATAATAATCTTAAGGATGTGAAATTAAACTCTTCTTTTATGTGAAAAGCTTGAAAATGGATGGAAGATGCCATAAGAATGTAAAAGATTATAGGTCATCTCATGAATTTTCACCAACTTCACAAGACCATAACTTTTTCAACACTTGGTATTTTTTAGTGATTCAAGTTTCACAATTCTCTTTGCAGTGTCTACTTAAAGCTAGCATCATTGATCAAAGCTAAATTTTTGAGGAAGAACTTATATGAATCCAAAACATTATAGATCATTTTTGAAGAAAAACTTAGAATTTTTCTAAGTACAAAAAGTTAGCATCTTTTTCTCAACTTTGACTCATCACAACTCCTAGCTCAAGCATCCATTTGGTCTCATTCTTTTCACATTGTAAAGATTGTGACCTTATCTTTAAAATGCTTCAAGAATCATGCCAGAAGACCCTTTGAGCTATGAACACCATGGATTCAAAGATGGTACCTTGAAACTGAAGTTTTCTCCAAAGTCAGAATTTGAAATCCATAATCCAACTTCTAAACACCAAATTAGCGCGCGTTTTTGATCTAACCATGTTTAACCAACTTGCCAAAGTGGATTAGAGCCTTGAAACGCAAAATTTGAGTGAGTTTTGATGCTAAGCAAGTCACATATTTTTCATTTTCGGGCTTCACTCGTTTTCCCTCCAAACCTCACTATTTCTCCCAATTCTTTTCATCATTCACTCTTCTATAAATAGAGGGAT